TAGATTAAACAACATAAATATTAGAGAGAAACAATTATTTTCAATTAACTTCCATCATACGAACTACGGACTCAACAGTCCTTTAACCAGATTTCAAAGGCAAGGAAATGAAATTAACAGACACACTGATCTTTTGGGAGTTAGTCGGTTTACGTTTAAAAATTTTGTGAAAGTTTTTTTTTCTTTTTTGTTTGATACTTTAGGTTAGGTTTAAAATATCTACTAATCATAATTATTTTGTAAAAGGAGATTTTCCGTAAATAAATAAAATAAATATTATTTTTTAAAAACCTTACTCAACTGATGCTCTTAATAGATTCATGCTTATACATAGAACATACTACTGACTGGTATTTCTTATTGGCTAACATCACAACGATTTACAGCTTCTTTTCTTTTCTGTATCTACAATTGTCGGAACTTTCAAAGATTCCCCAATTATTTTCAAAATTTGGCAACGGTGTGGAGCTGTGACGGTCTAACATTTATTACGTCATCGATGACGTGCAATGGTTTTTATATTGTATGAAGTATAAACGCCATCTATATATCAGATGGACAACTTTTATCTAAACATATTACGTCAACTACAAGAAAAACCGTAGATATCGATAAATTTTCAAGAATATGTATATTAAAGAAATAGTCTTGGATTGATGGTTCGATCCGACTCGAAGGACCATGAATCACAATGGAAGAATATTCCAGAAGTTTCTAAATGTAACGTGTGGTGCTAACTTGAATTTTATTGGATTTTTTTTTTCTAATTTTGGTATACAATAATGAGATCTACAATTGATTCCATGTTGATCTTCCGACGAAGTAGGACGAATCAAAGTCAATTGGTGATAATTGTAGCAAAAAATCAATAAATATCCGAGTGAAGTGGTAATTAAGTAGTGATTAGACTAGATATTTTCGCAGTAGAAGCTAAATTTTAGAAAATAAGCAAAACTCATCTAAAATTTAAACACATGGAAGAGCACGACCCGCCTGCACGACTCGGGCGGTGGATTCAATGGAGCAAGTGTTCAGGATGATAATAAAATCATTGAAAAAGACAAATACATACCTAGAATATTCGATATACGACTCTGATCCATTCAACGTCATGGTGGAACGTGGTGATAAAAACTTTGGTGGAATTTAGGAAAATTCTGTTCAGTTCAGGGAGTAATGGTATTAAAAACATTGAAAAGAAATGAAGAAACAGAATTTGTGTATCGTTTCGTCTCCCGATTGATGGCAACAACTTCAAAAATCTTCATTCCAGCGACTTTAATATCCTGTATAGGAGTTTTAAAATGAGTAGGCCGCAATATGAGATTAATAGAAAGAGCTAATGAGGAATAAAGAGTAGCGTTTAAACAGAAGAGTCTCTCGAAGTAAAATACACCCCAAAAGGATTCAAATATTTTTATAAGGATAAGCTTAAAGGATCCAAATGTTTTTACATGAACAGGCTTAAGGGGTAAATGGTCCAAATTTTTATACATACTACATAGACAAACTTAAGTCGTAAAAGAAATACAAAGTGATCAATTTGCACCGTTAAGTTCGGTCATTGGTAAAATAAAATCTATCTACTCATATTAGTGTCAACTGGGGTGATAGTAAACAAGGGGTTATTGTAAACACGCCAATAACTTTTGAATTTGGCGGGTTATAGTTTCCTTCCACACAGTGCAAGATGCCACCACGCATCTTCTATTCAATTCCATGTCAACCGTCTAGCCTGTTGCATCTTTTTTTTTATATAGAAACGAAATACTTCATTATTTTAATTGTGAATTATAAATAAAAATTCAGTGTGATAACCGTTTGTCAACTGGTAAGTTGATTTTCATGGCATACAGTTATTGTTAAGGGCATATCCAACGTTTTTATGCATGCACAAATCTTAGGTTATAGTGCACTCTATTTTAATGGCCGTGTTTACATTTGCCCCAGAATTTTCTGAGGAAGGGGCAAAGGTAAACAAACTCAGCAAATTGTAAACTTGTATAAATATGTACTTTTATATATTTTTAGGTACAAATGGTCCAAAATTATATAATAAAAAAGCCTATTGCCCAGAGGTACTCTGAAGCAGATCTAATGCATAACAGTACATGATGTGGTTAACCACAATAAAAGCTATAGAGAAGCCCAGGCTACCCATAATGTACCCATTGCGGTAATATATCATTGTATCAAGGGGAGAAAAAATCCATTGCAAGTGACAACTGGTGGTCGTCATTCTGTGTTGCCTGAAAATGTTGAGATAACGATTGAGAATTGTTTAAGTGCGCGTTCGCGCATGGGTTGGCCTTGTGATCGCAAATAATTATGCTCTTTAGTTGGAGAGTATGTGACATCTAAAGGCTTAAAAACTCCCTTCAAAAATAACATACCTGGGTATGATTGATATGCAAATTTTATGAAACGACATCCAACTTTAGCTTTCAAGAAGCCATCTTCAGAAAATTTTATCCCCACTTTTATTCATACCAAATGTTAACAGAGTGCCTGACCAGACTGCTCTTTTGTTATTCGACGGCCACAGTAGCCATATCACCGTTCGGATAGTGAATGCTGCGCTTGTACACAACATTTCATTACTTTGGTTCCCAAGTCATCTAACAGATAGGATACAACCATTAGATAAATGCGTATTCGGACCTATCAAAATTAAATGGGACAGAATCTTGGTTGATCATGGAAAATCTGAAATGGAAAAGTCTTGTGGACGTTTGACCAGACGTAAGTTCTCAGAATTGTTAAACAAAGTTTGGGAACAAGGCATGACCCCCGAAAACGTAATTTCAGGCTTCGAAACGACTGGAGTTTTTCCAATTGATTCTCTGAAATTTTCCGAAAAGTATTTTGATCCAAATTTATTACGAAAGTATAGAGAACACCAAAGCACTTCCAGTAACCAAGAACTAGGAAGCATTTCTGATTAATCACCTGGAGCCTCGTCAAGCCAACATGATCAACTAAGCCACATTTCTGAGGCATTATCTAGACTCTCGATGAGTCCAAATGACAAGATGAAATCATATAAACCCATATTGACAAGTGACTCCAATTTACCTGATCAGAACACCAGGATGCTACCATAATGGTTGAGACTGCAGAGAAAAATTCCAAAGACCTTTGGATCTCCAAGAAATTGAATGAATGTGTTGAAAATTCTCCAAAAATATCGGGTGGTGGTACTGAGAATAAAAAAGTTATTCCACGATTAAAACAATCCAGATATGGAGAAGTTTTAAAGACGGAAGAAGTAATGAACAAGCTCAAAGAAGCCGATAGTGAGGAAAGTGTTGCTAGCTTAATTCATTTATCGGGTCGATGGTGTAGCGGTCTAACGCGCTTATATTCATTTATAGGCAAGTTTATGAGTCCGAGACTGCTGGGCTTCGAATCCCAGACCAGACCATGTGGATTTTTAATTAAATTGCATGGTTCGGTTTAGGATTTGATGTGTGCCGTATTAATAGAAAATTCAATTTCTATTGATATGACATGCAGATTATAAAATCGCCATACATTATCGTCTCGATGGTGGGTGAGGTTTTCCGGGTTTTCCTCACCTGTAAGTCAAATGGCACCATCAATCATCCTTAAGTCACCCCGGAGCGCCACGGCAAATAATAATAATAGCCGTCCCTTCCCCTACACAAGTCGTTCAGTCGACTTCAGGGGTTGAAATTCACTCGTAAGGGGGTGAATTAGGGAGAGTACTATTATTATTATTATATTTGACAAACGATGACTCTGATGATGACATGCTCCCAGTTTCCTCATTTGTTCAACCAAGTCTGTTAATTATAAAGAAGTCAAATGGGAAGAGATTAAGACAGATGTTTTTCTTCTGGTAAAATTTGTTGGAGGGGCTAGAAAAGCGACTACTTACAAATACGTCTGTGTAGTAAAAGAGAAAGACAAAGAAGATCACGAAATTGCTATTGTGGAATTGCGAGCGCTCAATGAAGTTTGCTCTGATTTTTATATTAATGAGAGTGAGGATTCTTTCATACAAATGGACATGGTTGTAGTCATTCTTCCTCAGCCTGAAATTAAATTCGAAAAACGTAAAATGATTTATTCTCTTCGAGAAACCATAATAATGTATTTTGATATATTATTATATATTTGTAGGCATAAATTTACCTGCCACATATTTGAAAACTGTTTGTATTTCGCTTCAAATAAATAATAACATCAAAGGTAGGCAGTTTTATTGTTTAGAATTTTAATTTTTATCATGGGGAAAATGTGAACAACCAAATTACGACTTGAACTGATGCAAATTAATTTTAATATGATAATTTGTTCGATATTACCCCATCTATTCGAATGTAGGAGTCATTACAGAAGAATCATTTCGAATTTTGTTTACCATCACCCCAAAATTCTCAAAAACGAAAAAAAATTCGAGGAATTGTAAACATTGGATTTTTTTTTAATTTATTTTTTCAAGTTGACAATTGAATTTTATTTAGAATATACCTTAGAATATCTGCTTATTTAAAATGACAACTTTATATTTAATACTTTTCAATTCAAGACTGGGGGAACCTTACTTTATCAAAACTGTTTAAAGTTCCCCTGGTTAACCCTATATATGAATGTGACAAAATTGTATACCTTTCTTTTTGAGTAGAATTAAATTTGCTCTTTGCCTTTTTCTATGCGAATTAAAGAAACCAAACATAATTTTGACATTTAAGAAGGGTTTTAAAGAAAATAAATAACAAGGTGTGGAACGTATGAAATTTATCAATAGTTGCATTATTGAATCGGAAATATAAACATTATCAACTGATTTTAAATATTTTTGTTTATCTTGGTAGAATTTTAAAAGAAGGTTCAATAATAAAAATGAATTGCGATACTAAAACTTTCCATTTAACGCTTTTTTTATTTACTTTACTATTTAAAATATGCATTTCTAATTTTGCGTTTATTATTAAGATACATATTCTGTTAACCAATATAAAAAATTATTCTGAATATCATTCATGGGAACTGTTATCTTAAAAAAATATTCTGAACACTTTCAAAAAAACAATATAAAAAAAAAACATTAAATATCCGATAAATACTTTTTTTAATTCACTCTTTTTTATTTCTTATAGGAAACTTGTTCTCATTGAAAGTAAGTCTGAGCGAATCCAAAGTTTTCAAAGGTTCAGTTGGACTAGTAGCTGCACTTGAACTACTTCTATTATCGGAACTCACCGATTTATCACTATTTTCTTGAGGACTACTTTCTCCATTTCTTTGGAATTCCAGTATACTTTGTGGCCTAAAAACAAAATGAAATAAATAATTCAAAATACTAAAGATGGCGCCGTCTGAGGACGACGTGGAAAATGTACTCATATAAGGGAAGATAACTTAAAAGTAAATCTTTTAAATGTTGTCAAACCAAAATTAGAAGAAACCTAGTGTGTGTAAATTGTGAAAAACAAGATAGAATGCATAAAAGTATGTAATTCAAGAATCGTTTGCTGAAACCTAAAAAATACAATCAATCAATTGAGGATAAACAAAAGGACGAAACTAATTTGGTAACACATTCCAATTTATTAGAAGAAATTAATTTTCTGAAATGGATTATAAAAGAAAAGGATGAAAAATACGATCTTTTGGATGAAAATAATAAATTAACGAGACAAACTAACAATCTACTAGAAGAAAAACTAAAAATACAACAACAAAAAGTGAACAAAGCAAAAACTTATCTTTTAAATTGGTAGATACAGGATTTTCTATTTTTAATTAAGTGATAAAAAACACAACACAAAAAACTCTGAATCAAACACCAGAATAAATATCATTGAAGCAGGCAAAGTGTTGCCAGAGCCAGATCTACCAAAAGACTTGCGAACTAAGGAAACTTCAGCAATCCAAACAAATACAAACAGACACAATGAATAAAATAATCCAACTCAATTATTAATTTTTTTAATCGAGTTATTAACAAATACTAAAACTATAATGGATACAATTGCATAAACTAATCAAATACATTATTTTCTATGTCAGATAATTCAAAATCTGAAACGATATTTTTTTTTAAATTTGTGAAAACAAGTTTGACATAAACAACAAATTAAAAATCTACGAATTGTCACTTGGCAATAAATCAAAACGTTGTTACACTCCGTTTCACGAAAGAAGAACCCAGCTGAAGTTGCAACAATGACAGGCGCAGAAACCAAATTATGTCTTGTTTACCTACGTCTCTTAGTAACGACACAGTCATGCCTCTGGCGTAGAACGAACATTTTTATGCCAATAGCCATTTATTTGTTAGCGACGTTAGCGTTTGACATTTAAGGTTATGTTTTTGGAATCGCCTATTTGTTAAATATTTTCAATTTTTGAAGTAAGCTTCCTCTCCATACTCAAATTTGTACGGCTGAAGTTGTAGCTATCAACAAGGCCTTGCAAGTAATATTAGACAAAAACATCGTTCAATCCATTATCCTCTCAGACTCCAAAGCTGCACTTCAAAAAATAGCAAGATCATGCTTTTCCAGGGAAACTGAACATTGTTCCTTCTTGACAAAGGAAGGTATCTTACTCGCAAAAGATGAACATATCAAAATAATTCTGGCATGGATTCCAGGCCACTCTGGGATTCTGTGAAACTTCAAGGCAGACCAATTGGCAAATATAGGAAGATCTCTGAATATTCCAGTGAATATCAAACTAAACTATCATAATTTCTTTCTATTTATCAGAAACATTGTGAATTCAAGATGGCTTGAAGAATGGAATAGCCTCAAGAGTAGGAAGAATTCCTTTTATTCTAAAGTCGTTCCACGATTTGATAAAATCCCTTGGTTTTTAAATTTTCCCTACAAGGACAGAAGACATTTAACTACAATAATTAGGATGAGGACAGGACATTGCCTATCCCCATATCACTTATTTCGTATAGGAGTAAAAGATGATCCATTTTGTGAGTGTGGTCAAATTGGCTCATTAAACCACATTATCTTTGAATGCACCATAAATATGATGGCAAACTTTGATTTATACTCTGAACTGGCAAAAACCAAGCTTTCTACTCCCTTTGACATTTGTTTTATGTTGGCTAACCTTAATAATAGCAGATTAAACATTCTAATCAAATTTTTAAATATATTTAAAATTCAATTATAATCCTAATACTTTATCCTCTCTTTCAGTCCTAGGTGCTCCTTCTATTTACCGTTGGCAGTTTCCTGGTTGTGTTCAGCTTGGCGACTGCCCCCAAGCGAGAAAAGTTTTTATCCTGTGTTGTGACGTCCATGTACTAACTTTGTATGCCCCTCTACGTATATAACTCAAGTAGTAACATTAATAAGCTTTTTTACTTTGAAATTATATAAATATATCAATTTAATGGAGGGTATCCAATTGCTGAGAGCAAGACAAGGATACTCTCCCCGTTGTTGGCTGGGTAAATTATCCTATGGGATATAGCCCAATAAAGGAAGAAGAATATACTTTTTGTTGTATAAAGCAATGCCTGTACCTCCCTCTACTCAGAAAGCAATTTGAAGCTATATTAACTGCATGAATTTTGCTTTGCTCAGAAAGCAATTATACGCAAAAAAGTAAAAAAATAGATCTTTAGCTATTTAATTCTTTCTCTTATATTTTTTCCCTAAAAATGTTTTAAATAATTCGATGTGAAATTGAATTTACAAAAAATTTCGTATTAACTATACCTGCATTTTGCTTCGTTTATCCGAGATATAATCTATCTCCAATTTCCACCCGCTAATTCAATAGCATATTTATTGACCATTTGAATGATTTATGCCATAAACACCTATAAAAGTGATAATTCCTTTCTATATTACACATTCAATAGTCTATAAGGGATTTGCAAATTGCATTTTTTTTTTTAATTTCAACATTTCTTGCATTAAAACTGGTGAAAATGACAACACCATTTTCATATTTAAATTTGAAATGGTTACGCTACTGATTTTAAGTCAAACATCAAATTTATAATATGGCGCTGGTTATGACGACACGTTCGCGCATACGACTGCAACTTCAAGTGGGTTCTTATGTCATGAAACGGATTCTACCATAGTAACGAAATCAAGGCAGACTATTATCAAACAGCGATCGGAAAAATAAAAAACAGGGACCGGTAAAAGCTTTCTACGTCTACTTTCCGGTCGTGATTTGCAAAACGTCATTTTCTGGACGAAAAATTGTTCAGAAAATATATATTTTCTAGTCGGTCTTTTTTTTTCTCCTGGGCTCGTCTGACTATGCATCTCCGAATAACACTGAAGCCCATTGGCTTATACCCCATGTTAGTTCATAGCACCCACTCTGTCAGCTTTGTACCTTGTACAAGTTGGTACAGATCTTTGGGTGAGCGGGTTCTATACGTTGTTGGATCAACCCGGGGTTGTCCAAAAAGAGCCTGTCTTTTGCGATCTAGAGCTTCGCATTCGCACAGTATGTGTTTGGTCGTTTCTGGTTTCTTGTGACATAGTCGGCACATGAGTTCCCCATTGTACATGCCAATTTTGTTCAAGTGTCCCTTTACTGGGACGTGCCCAGTCATGAACCCTGTTATGACTTTCAACTGGTTCCTATTCATTGAGAGTAGTTCTCCAGTTCTTTTAGGACATGATCTGCCTATGAAGGCTTTTCCATGTGCCTGTTTTGGGGTGTTTCCCCAATAGTTGATATGTTGTTCTCGAATCTAGTCGTTTATGAAACCCCGGACTGTACTTTTTGGTACTCCTGGGTTTGTGCCTGGTTCCGGTGTTTCTTCTGACTCTCTTTTTGCAAGTTCGTCAGCCTTTTCGTTGCCTTCAGTCCCTTGGTGACCCGGCACCCAAAATAGTTTTACTCTATTTCGGTCTGCCAGTGTTCTTAGTTCTTCCATGCATTCCCATACCAGCCTCGACGTAACATTCTGACTGGATATGGCCTTAAGTGCCGCTTGGCTGTCTGACATTATTTGAATATGCTGATTTCCGACAGCTCTTTCATTGTTCGTTTTTGCACATTGCAAAATTACGTATACCTCGGCCTGAAATACCGAGGAATGTATTCCTATAGCATAGCTATAGTTAGTATCAGGGTTTTTGGAGAATACTCCTGCCCCAGTGCCTTCTGCAGTCTTAGACCCGTCTGTATACCAGGTTTGTTCCTGTCGTTGGGCATTGGGCTCCCTTATGGTGATCTCCGCTCTTTCCTGTATTAAAACCTCAAATGGAGTATTAAAAGAGTACCTCTTGGTTATGTGGTCTGGTCTCATGTCTAGCACGTCTCCTGTCACTAACTCATGTGACCTGGCCTAATGTCAAGATTTCCCAGTGTATTCCCTAATCTGTAAGCACCTAATCTTGCCTCTCCTTGTATCACATAGTGAAGAGGTGGGAGTCCTATTAGTGCTTCCATTGCAGCAGTGGGGGTTGTTTTCATTGCCCCCCTTATTCCGAGGCAGGCAAGTCTTTGTACCTTGCTTAGCCTCGTTATTGCTTTCGTTTGCTATGTCTTTGGCCACCACACCAAAGCTGCGTATGTTATTATCGGTCTCACCACCATGTTATAAAGCCAATATACCATGTCTGGTTTTAACCCCCATTTTTTTCCAAAGGATCGCCTTGACATCATTAACAAGGTTTCCGCTCTCCTTGTGGTTCTTTCTAGATCCTGGTTCCAGGTAAGTCTCGAGTCAATATTAACCCCAAGATATTTTACCTCCCCCTTAAGCTGGATGCTTGCACCTGTTAGGTTTAGAGGCCCTAGTCCCTCCAATTTCCTCCTGCGGGTGAATGCAATTATGTCAGCCCTTAAGCTGGATGCTTGCACCTGTTAGGTTTAGAGGCCCTAGTTCCTCCAATTTCCTCCTGCGGGTGAATGCAATTATGTCAGATTTATTTGGGCTGTTTAGTCCTTCCGCCTCTGTCCATTTTGTTACTATATTTAGAGCCTCTTGCCGATCTCTTACTATAGTATTGTATTTTCCCTGTGCCACGATCACTAGATCATCGGCATATCCCAGGGTTCTATGTCCCTTATCTTTGAGAGCCCTAAGCAGCCCGTCCAGTACAAGGTTCCACAGGAGTGGAGACAACACTCCACCCTGTGTACATCCTCTCGATACCCGTGCCGCTATTGTCTCTCCCATAAGGGTTGGGTGTATAGTTATCTCCCTTAACATAGAGTGTTTGAGAGATCTAATGATCGATTCAACGGAGGTATTGTCAAAAGCACCCTCGATATCCAAGAATGCTCCCAGCATTACCTCCTTGTTTTCCAGTGTGTTCTCCACCCTTTTTATTAATTGATGGAGAGCTGTTTCAGTTGATTTCCCTGCACTATAGGCGTATTGGTCTTGGTATATTGGCCTCTAAACCAATATCCCGTCTCTAATATGCCTATCTAGCAGTTTTTCCAAAGTCTTAAGTACAAAGGACATAAGACTTATTGGTCTCAGGGACTTTGCCGTTTCCTGTCCCATTTTCCCAGGTTTTGGTATAAAAGTTACCCTAATATTTCTCCAAGCCTTTGGTATATGTCCAAAGGCCAGGCTACTTCTGAGTATAGTCAGTCTTAAAAAAAATGAATTTTAAATAGAAAATAGTATACGATACATTGTATACGGTAAATTGTATACAATACGTTAACTTTTCAACACTGGCTCCAGGAGAACGGTATAGAAAAACAATGCTACTAAATAGACAGAAATAGAACAATAAACGCTCGAAAGGCCATAGTTAAAGTTAATTTCTTTATTCCACTTGATGCATATAAGTAAATTAGGGGATATATTTAGGAAACAGAATTAAAAAAATACCGATTCAAATAAAGGAAGAAAGGAATTTGTGTTCAAGAAGAGATTATTTTGAAAAAGGAATTGCAAAAATGTGTTTTAAAGCCAATTTTCAGCCTTTGAACATAGTACATTTTTACTTCAATACATGAGCTCACGTTTATTTTTAAAAATATATTGTTTGTTTAATGCCTAATAGTTAATAATTAAACTTACCTTCTATATAAAAGTAGAAAATCGACGTCCAAAAACAATTCGTGCAAAACTCTCCGTGTGGGCGATCTGTAGATACTTTCCGAAACAATTTTACATACTTCCGAGTAGACGCAAATGTCTTTGAATGCATCAGGTTCACGCTGTTTGTAACGTATCAAATGGGATTTGATGTATTTGTTTGAAATTGGATTGGCCAAGCGTTCGACGTTTTCGAGTATCTCTACTTTTACAGGATCTGAAATAAAATCGTATTTGACAATATAATTTTGGTGAAAAAGTGTTTTATTTATTTGTAAAAAAAAATTCTACATTTAAATTATGGTGTAGTTCGAAGCAAGCATTGACACTCTAAATTTATTGCATCCCTATCAGTTTACAAAGCCATGAGATTAATACAATCGATTTATATTCAAAAAAAGACCTGATGAGAGCTTAGGTGATTTTTTTCAAGTTCTGGATATTATGGCTGCAATTGTTTTATATGTATCAAATGTCTTTGCTATATTGTCAATATTAGTAATTTTTTTAATTTCATAATTTTGGTATATTTTTAATGTCCTTTTATAAAAAATTCTGAATAACTAAGTTTATTTAACAACAGAACGTACAAAGTTTATGGGTTTTTTATGTTACTTTTATTGTTATAAAATATTTTGTTACATAACTGTAAAATAAGATAATAACTGTAATATATATTTTTTTCCTTAACTTCTTTTCTCAATAGTTTATAATGATCGAAAGACATAAGCCACTTAATCCTACTTTTGTTGATAGTGATATATTCACAATTATTGTATATTCTCCTTTTATCTCTCTATCCTCACAATCCTCACTTTCCCCACTTTCCTCCTTTTGCTACTTCTCTTTTCTTAACTATTCTGTTTTTAGAAGAAGTTTTTAGAAGAAGTTTTAACTAAAACTGTATAGCAGATGACATTTTCAGTTTCTCATGTGAATGTACGTTCTCTAATACCACATCTTAATGTTTTCAAAAACTATGTTGCTAATACGGACAGCGATGTCGTAGGGGTAACCGAAACTTGGTTGCATGGCGGCATTAGAAATGAGTTAGTAAGCTTAAATTCCTATACATTAATTAAACAGATCGCCTTACAAGGGGCGATGGCGTGGGTATGTATTTAAAAAATAAATTTAAATTCCAGAAGATATATTCTGAGTGTAACGATGACATTTATGGGTTAAAATTATATTTGAAAGCTTAGTAATTGCAGTAGGAACTGTTTGTCGTCAGCCAAAGAGTAAAAATCTCGATTTTTTTTAAATAAAATAGTAACTATGTTCGAAGATATTTATTCTTATTTTGATCATGTAATTTGTGTTGGCGACTTTAATGTTAAACACTTAATTCAGTTAATTAAAAAACCAACAAGGAATCTCTAATTGTTAGATTTAGTTATCACTCATTTTGATATTATAATAATAATAATATAATATTATTTATTCACACATAATAATAATATAAAAGTTTTACAATAATACACAAACATATGTATTGTAACTTCAATGTAAATAAATCATTGACCCCATTAAAAATGTTTAGTCGAGCATGGGAAATGCCAATTTTTATTAAAAATTGAAATTGCCAAAACGCAGTAGATAAAAGAAATTATAATTAAGGTATACGTAATAACTAAAATAATAATAAGATATTTATAACTTATATAACTAAATAATAAAAATTTAAATTGGTAAAAAAAATATAGTTAGCAAAAATACTGATGCGTGATAAGGGTGTGAACTATATATTGTTTTCCTTCAATCAATCAAACAGTTGTTTAAGCATGTGCCTATTATTTAATATTAAATATGTTTTAAGCAAGGATTTTATCATTGCATGAGAATTGATGGTATTTAAGTATATTTTGTATATATCAGGAAGTGTATTATAGAGAAAGTAAAAGTTGAAAAGTCTTTTGGTAGGTAGAGAGGGGGTAAACGTCAAACCACGTCGGGCGGCTCCGAGAATTTCACAGTAATGTTTACCTGCCAGTGTCGTTTCATAGAATAAGTAATTTTAAATTGTTATCAGCGGAACCGGACAATCGCATGTATTTATGGATTATAAATAATTATTAAACATGTATTATAATATTCAAATTATAATTTTACAAAATTTCAACAGCTATTCACAATTTATTAAACTATTTACTCGAAATTGTTATTAACATCTATAAAATAATTTTGTACGCCAATGTATCGCGTCCACTTCGGTGAAATCCGCTGCCAACCTGTCAATTTATGTGTATAAAGTGGGAGAACTGGCAAAAGCATTTCCAACTTTTACTTCTGTTCTATAAATTTTTAATTGTAGATATTGGAAGTTTCGTTGGCCTACGGTTTTTTTTGCAATATTTGTTTCAATAAATAGTTGTGATCGATTTTTTTGTCTGGTATGAATGTTGAATAGGTATTAGTAACTGCTTATTTTTATGTAAATTTACCATCATAGCAAGTGTAAATAGTTGTCTTATATCTAGGACTGCAGATTCTATAAATAATTCGTCTGATGGGTGTGATACTTTTTTGTTATGTATTATTTGTAATATTTTTTTTTTTTAATAATGTTTAATGGTTGTAAGTAGGTGACAGAGACTCCACCCCATCCGAGAATTCCGTATCGTAAACGTGATTCCACTAGTGAATAATATACGATTTTTAGATGATATATATCAAGTATAGATTTTAAGTAGCGAAATTTATATAATAAATACCTTAAGATCTTACAAATTTCGTTTACATGTTTATCCCAGCGTAAATGGGAATCAATTGTTAATCCTAGATATCGAATACTATCGGCTCTGTTTATAACGAGATTTTTTATTTTTAATGTATTATAATTCGGCAAACCATTTTTATAACTAGCAAAATGAACGAAAAATGTTTTTTGAACATTTACCGTAAGTAACTTGTGACTAAATACATCTATAATTTTTACTAAATCGTTTTCCATTTTAACCTTTAGGTCAGTCCAGGTTTCAGCTGAATATAAGATGGCAGTATCATCCGCAAAACTTACGATATTACCTTCTGTATGGTAGGTTAGTACATTATTTATGTATAGTATAAATAAAATAGGTCCTATTATGGTACCTTGTGGTATACCAAAATTTATTTCTTTTTTACTACTTACCTCTTCGTCTATCCTGACTACTTGATTTCTACCTAACAAATAGCTCTGCATTAAATCATGAACTTTCCCACGTACTCCTGCATCCTCCAAGACATCCAACAGTTGCGTGTGGCTAACCGTATCAAATGCCTTGGCTAGATCCAGAAATACGCAAGCTGTTGGAGTGCTTGCATCAATAAGATTGTATATCTTGCTTGTTAGGGATGTAATGGCATTTTCCGTCGACATTCCCCTTCGAAAGCCAAATTGGTTTTCAGACAGTAAATTATATTTTTCTAAATATGTGGTAAATTGATTTGTTAATGCTTTTTCTAAAATCTTACTCAGAGTTGTAATTAACGATATAGGCCTGTAATTTGTTTGTAATTTTCGGTTTCCTTTTTTGTGTATGGGAACAATTAAAGTCGTTTTAAATTGTCTAGGCCATAGTCCGGTTTCAAAAATAGTATTTATTAAGTAAACTAAGGGATGGCTAATTATAGATGATACTTTTTTTATAACTTCAGATTTAATGTTATCTATTCCTGGTGCCTTATTTAATTTTAGAGTTGATATAATATTACTTACTTCATGTTCACTAACAGGTAATAGATAAAAAGAATTTTCCATTCGCTTATTTTTAGGTGGAGCAGAATTTGGTTTCACTATTTTTTTGGCATAACATTTTCCAACTTTTGAGAAATATGTATTAAACTCTTCAGCTATTATTTTTTTATTTTTACATACTATATTGTTTTCTAGAACAATTTCTTCAATTTTTTTATCATTTACATTATTTGTTACATCATTTATTATTTTCCAAAGGTTTTTAGTTGAACTATTATTTTTAAGAATTTGTTTTCTGTAATAATCCTTCTTTGTTGTTTTGATGAGTTTATTTAAATTTTTGCGATATTCAAGGTAATTGTTTTCAATTTGTATGTCTGTTTTATTTTTTATGTACTGCCTGTATAATGAGTTTTTTTTATTAATTGATTTTATGAGACCCGGTGTTACCCAGTTTTTTCTCTCTTTATTTGCACTTTTTATTTTTATTGTTTTAGTATGTTTCTTTATAAAGCTGTTTAAAGTTTCTATTAGGTATTTAGTAATGTCATTAGGAGTAGATAATGTATAATACGTCGACCAGTCAAAATTTTGCATGTCACTTTCTAGATTATTATAGTCTATGATTTGTTTAGAAGTTGTCGGGCTGTTTTGATATTTTTTTGTTACAGGAATACTTGCAAATACTGTTTTATGATCAGTTACGTTTGTTTCGAGAGTGACTGCTATGCAACTATCTTTTATATTTGACTTTTTAGAATTTATAAATATATGATCTAAACAATTTTTTTCTCTGGTCGGACTGTTTATTAAAGATAAGAAATTGTGTTCTCCTAACAGATTTAAATAACTATTCACTACTTCACTATTCTCAAATATATTTATATTTATGTCCCCTATTAGTATGTGATAATCTATTGAAGTTTTTTTTTGTACTTTCTAGGTATTCTTCTAGATTGATTATAAAACTTTCAACATTTGTTGAAGGTGGCCGATAGAGAGCAGTAATCATTAATTTTTGTTTGTTATGGAATGTGATTATGGTTTCTATCACTTTATTTTCTCCTAGCTCTACAATGTTAGTACACTGGTTAAAGTCTTTTTTTAAGTATATTATAGTTCCATCATTTTTATTAATATTGCCTTCATTATAAAATTATAAAACGATTACACGGAGTTAGTTGATTTAAATTTAGTTGCTGACCACGCAGGCATAAGTTGCATAAGTAAGGTTAAAATTCAAGTCACATGCAACCCTAAAAATATATATTTTGTAGGTCACTCAATAATATAAATTATAATAACTTTCAATATGACTTAAGTATGATGCCCTGGAATGAAATTTATGATACTAATGAGATTGATAAAAAAATTGAACTTTTAAACAATAATATCATTACGGTTCTGAATGTACATTCCCCACTTAGGTCACGAATACAAAAAAATATACTAGATACGCTCCGTGGATTACAGACAATATTATACTTTTACAAAACATTCGTGATAAAGCTTTACGAATATTTAGGAGAACACAGTCT